TTTTAATACAATGGATCTGTAACGAAGAATTAATTGTATTAAAATATAAAAGTTTACTGCAGAAATGCCAGCGTTAATTCTAAACTGAACTATTGGAGATTCGTGTGCATCCAGAAATGAGAACATAATTCTGGAAAAATATGAGTATCTCTCTAAAGGAAGTTGCATAATGATTGCATTTCTAATTAACATTTCTGAAAGTGCCTTTGCTTCATAACAATATATTTCATATTAAAATATTTACATGCAAGTAGATAGATCCATTGAAGATAGGAATTTCCTTACGTCTGGTGAATATGGAAGAGTGAAATGGATTATACATTTTGGGCAATTTTTTAACCTAACGTTTGTTAGATTAGTCAACAGATCAACACCATCTTTACTCTGTAGGATATATGGCAATGACACAGTTGTCCCGTTTCTATCCTGTTTTATAGTTGTCCTGTTTTCTGAAGGTGAATAGGAATTGTTGGAATTTTGAGAGGTGAAAATTGAATTTGAGGTGTGATTCATTTCCAAATTTTATTTTTTACCTACGTATGCAGAAGAAAGATAATTCTTTTTGTTTTTTCCTCATCTTACATTACTGGTATAAACATTGTTTTCCATGATCACTAGTTACTTCTTAGATTACTGATGACTTGTTTGTAAACTTGAAAAATATTACTGATAAGAAATATACTGTTGATAGCAGAGCCAAGCGTTTTTATTAAATTATTAAAAAGCTGTTAGTGCTTGGCTCTACTAAAAAGTACAAATATTGTGAATGTGGTTGAAATTTTCAATACTTTCACAAATGTTCTTATTTCAAAGAAAATTGAATTTTCAATCGTTGACCAATGCTAATATTATTGGTATATCTGAAAGTAATGACAAGTTCCCAAATTCGATTACATAAAATTAAAAAAAAACGTATAAGTAATAAGCTAATAAATTGAACAAAGGAAACCAATGAATTGTTGGCAGTGAAAAATAAAATAATTTTTACTTCGTTCATTGAATAAGCAATGATTGTTTGTTAAGAAGCACTCCATTTTTCTTGCTCATAAATGAGTGAAATATAATTAAATACAATGAACAAACAATAGTAATTTCACTGAGTTGATAATCAATGTTGGATACTCCAAATGTTCCGTTTTAACAATATTTTATATCAACAAAACAATAAATATTTCACATTCATTTTACACATAGGTGCCACCTTCTTATTTCTGTTTTGATTCCCTGCAATTACGTATTGAGTTGAAAAACACAAGACACTTTGAATTTGATAAATGATAAATGAAAAACTGAGATAAACTATATTTTATCTTGTCTATCTGAGTTCGCTCCTCTACATCAGAAATAATGCTGCTAATTCAACCTAAGGAAAATCTTAAAATCCATAACGTTCGATAAAACTTATCGTGTAGTTACATTAGTTAATCATTGTTTTCTTAGGAAACAAATTTTTAAAAGTCGGAGGTTAGAAGAGTAATCTGTTTTTGACTTTGAGAAGTACTTATAATCTTGATTAGTTTCGATAATTTAATAAAGAAAATAATGATCTAGTATTTGAAAGAAAAAAACATTAATAAAACCGTTAGCATTAATAGCATTTTTCATAAATCTAAGCCGTTATCGGGCTGAAGTTCGAAATGGAAGTTTTAGAATATTTTCAGTAAGTATCCTACAGGGAACTTTGGATGGTTTCGCTGAATCAACAAATCTCGAAAATGAAATCATTTGCGTAGCATTAAAAGGAAATAGCGAACCACAAGAATAAGATTTAAAATTTGAGGAAAAAATATTCGCAAAATAAAACAAAATGAACAAATTAAAAGGAAATGTAGCAAAATTTTAAATTACTCCAAAATCGAAATCACAGAAAAAACTACAAATGAGAAAAAAGAAGTTAAGATTACAATTTGCAATAATGAAAACAGATAAATTTTCATTTAGTATAGTTGTGATGATTAATCCTCAAAATTTTATCCTACAAAGTTAAAAAGCTGTAATTTACAATAGTGTTCTTGGTTTTTCCATGTATTCCTTAAAATGTTTTAGCCAAATTGCACCAATAGCACCATCAACAACACGATGATCACAAGACATCGTCACAAGCATTGTTGTTATGACTTTGAATCTGGAATTAATTAGTTTGAAGTGAAGAGCAGTGAAATGAATGAAATCTTCATCAGAAGCAAATAAATAAATAATGAACGAAAAAGGCAAGCATGCGGAAAAATTAATGATATTAGAAATCGATAATGGTTTTAGAAATCTGCATGAATTTCTGGAAACAGTTTTTTCTTACAAAAAGAAGCTCACTCATTTTTTTCATCATCAGGTATAACCTTGCGCTCTGAACCACCGACAGCCAAAATACATGACTGCGGTGGATTGATAATTGCTGTAAAATGGCGAATGCTACCAAACATTCCCAAATTTGATACCGTAAATGTACCACCCTGAAGATAAAATCAATATATTCATTTGACTGATAAAATTTTACCGTCAATTTCATTATAAGAAGAGTGTTAAGGATAACATTTCAAAATTCCTGCAAAATCTTTATTACTAAAAAATTTTTTTCGAATTCCTGCAAAAATCTTTATTACTAAAAAATTTTTTTCAGTAGCATTCCAAATTCGGAACATTGATTATTAACGGAAAATTATATTTTAATAACAAACATACCATATACTCGTTTGGTTTTAGCTTATTTTTATGCGCTTTATCCACTAATTGTTTAATTTCAGCACTGATTTCTACCAAACCCTAAAGTTTTATAAAAACCATAAAACAAAAAAGAATTGAAAAACTTCTTAGTAAAACAGCTGTTTGACACAAGTTCATGTTTTAAAATTCAGTGATACTTCGAACGTTTCTTCTACTCCCCAACCACTGAATTCTTAGTGTTAGTACTATACTTTCAAAATCAAATTGATTTCGAAACTGTAGTACATGTTCATCAATTTATCCTTAAACTTTAACAAAATTGATTCAATTTTTAATAATTCCAGAAAAAAAGAACGAACTTTAACATCAGCATTATAAACAATCGGTGTTATAAGGCCTGTTTCTATTTTCACAGCAACAGAAATATCAGCGGTTAGATTTTGACGGATAACTTTCTCTTTCTCCAAGAAAAAGCTGTTGACTTCAGGTACATCCAAGCAGGCTAATGAGCAAGCTTTAACGACAAAATCATTTATAGATACTTTGATGCCTTGATCTTTCAGGTTAGCATTTAAATTCGCTCGTTCTCTACAACAAAATTTCAATAATCTTATGATACACTAGCATACATCGAGTGAGGATGAATAATGTAATAATTTCAAAATCATAGCACGATTTAATGATGTATAATGACCTAGTAACTGTAAGAGAGATATGCGATGATTTAATTACAACGGATACAGCAATAATAAAGGAAAAATTCTCAAAATCCAACATTCCTTTCATCTATGGAATTTAAAATTATAACTGTGATTACTTAGCAGTCAAGTAAGAATGAACTTTAGATTAAAAGAAACCAAAGTGAAGTACTTTTAATCTATAAAATCGAAAAAGTTATCAATGCAATTATTTCACAAAATGTTAAACTTTCCAGTTTGATCATTACAGTTTCAACAGATGGTAAAATGCAGGAAAAAAATCAGAATATCACTAACTTTAATAATTCGTCCATTTTGATTTCAGAAGTAAGGTAATAATGTGGTATACTTTGTTTACTGAATGATAAACGTTTAGCAATGGTTTCTCTCATATTCGTAAGTGGTATATCTTTGTATTTCGGATCACCAGGCTTAACTCCTTTTGCATTTTCTTTCAGTTGTTCCGGTCGAGAACTTTCTTTATTTAGTACCACATTATCAATGGCAAAAACAGGAACAGTTCCGCTTACTTTAGCACCTTCCACATCGGTTGCAATGCTACGCCCAGCATCTTTAATTTTCTGCAACAATAAAATTGCAAAACTTTCCAGTTATATCTAGCATTTGGAATTAATCATGTTAAAAATATATTCCACTTATTCATTATATTCTACACATCCTTAATAAATAACAGAATGTTAGCAACAGTAATTAGATCAGAAAATTTCATGCATATTCCATTGACAGTATATTAATTTCTAAAAGAGATAAACTAATTCCAAACTGTTGGAATTAGTTCTGTTTAATTCATCTATTGAAAGTTGATATTGTTTGTCATATTTTATGACGGGAAAAATAAACGGTATTAAATTTTGAAGAGAAGAAAAGAAATATGGTAAAATGTTAACAGAGGAAAGTATGCAATTTGTAAAGAAAGGTAGTTTAACATGAATATCAATCTAAATAAAATACGATAATTGAGTTGTTGGTAATAAAATTTAAATTAGATCAAGAATAGAGGATTGAGAAGTAGGTAAATATTATCAATCTCACAGCAGCACGTGATTAAAACACGTAAAGATTACTCATATTATGCTTAAAACAAAAACCAATATCACCTACCGACAAATCGATACCAAAGCCAGTAGTTAATTGCCGAACATATGGGATAACAACGACACGGTTACTTTCCAATTTCGTTGTTCGAAAGAGATTGATAATAGATGATGAATAGCTTTTGGTTGTTGAAATCATCGTACTGGCTTTAGATATTGCCAAAGCTGCAACTGTCATTTCATACTGAATAATCAAATATTTTAGCAATCTTCTTTAGATGTATAATGTTCACAAAACATTCACTGATTGAAGCATCAATAATGTTTACATATTATTATTTAAATAATAGATCGACTAGATTGTGAAAATTAAAAAATGTTTATATTAAATGCATGAAATAGAAAAAAGAAGAAAAAGAGAGATAGAAAACAAAATGCAAAAGTAAAAATCATATTAAAAACGGCATGAGACAAAAAAAATGCAAGTATACAGGCATCTCATTTCCATATTTCATCATTATTCAAAAATATACCATTTTAGCATATTCAAATCCATTTCTCAGTGATTCTTATAGCACCTTCACCTGCAAAACATTCTTTCTCCTTCTCTCTCTCTTTCTCTCTTCCTCTCTTTTTAACCTATCTTAATTTGCGGCAAATTTCTCTCGAAAATCAATGAATATATTTATTTACAGAGTAATGTTACCGTTTTCAACACAAATTTTTTCTCACTTTTTTTGAATGCCACTATTAATTGATGACTTAAATTTCCATTCTCGTCTCACTCATATTAAAATAATGATAATTAATGAGTTGTCCACTAATAGTAATATTATTTATCAGATGTTGTGAAACTGTGGGATCAACTGTAGAACTAATAATGAGAAAGCTCATTAATTTTAATAGTTCAATTAGAAAATGCTATGACTTCAAACCAATTCCATTGCCAATTTTTAACCCACGAATAGACCAGATATTCGACAAAAATTTTTCTTCCGAAAAGGCAAACATTGCTCGTATTAACTTATATAAAATCAATATTGTATATGTTATGGTATTAATATGCGAAGCATTAATTAACACACAGAAAAATCCGTTCGGCGTAATTAATTTTTATCCTCTTCAATCCAATTTGTAACATTTCAATCTCAGTTTAACCTAATGTCTGATTTTTCTTCTTTTGAACATTTCCTATAACACTTGTAAACATCATCTTTACTGTAATGATTGGTATGCAAGATAAAAATCGCAATAAATATGCTAAATACTGTTTTCTATGAATGCACCCGAAGCATTACTTTCAGGGAAATTTTTTTTGGCACTTATAAAAAAAATTACCACGATAGTCTGAGGCTAATGGTAAAAATGACCGACTATATTAATGTTTTTGCAAATTGAATTGTATTTCTGGAGAGAATAGATTAAATTCATTAACTACGATTAGAAGCTATGCGAAATGACTATCAATTACATTTCTTTGCTCTTGCTAATAATTATAAGACGAAATAACGACCTCAATGTTTAACAAATTCGATGTTTGACAAAAAAAAACTCAATCCTTTTTAAATACGATCAGTACTGGCCTAAACAAAACTGACTCAGGTTTCTTTTTTCACTCTTTCGAAAACCCATTTATTCCCAGTACTTTTGCTAAGTTTCACTGAAAACAAAAAAAAACCTGCGAAAATTTTCCATTACCTAGAAAGCCTAACAAAAATCTATTTCAGAACTACTTTTAGAATCGTTTATAACACAATGCCGAATGTATTAGTAACGGCCATGGCGTTGAATACATGAAAGGAAGAGATAAATAACTTCTAGAATCGTTCACATAAAAATTTGTAGTACGCTCATGTCGCTGGAAAGTCTCCTCTAGTGCCAAGAAGTACACAGCAATTAATCGTTTAGATAGCATGAAAAACACTTTAACTATTAAAAATAGAAGTAAAATTCGAGTGCATTCATCATTAGGGAAAATTATTCAATCACAAACGAAGGAAACTCAAAAACAATGGCAAAAAAATTTATTCAAAAAATCACCACTAAATTAAAATTCATCTGATAAAGCAATGAGGGACAGCTGATAGTAGATATATTGCATTTCTTAATTGTTTCAATTGCCTGCAAAAAATTGTTAACTATTACTCGATAAGAAATAACGAAAATTTACAGCAGATTTTCATTGAACTTCATCAAAACTTGCAACACTTCTGAATACATTTCCCGTCTTCTTTATCAAAAATAATAATTCCGTTATTCTTTTCATATATAGGAACATCTATTTTGACATATTTTGAAAAAAGCTCCGCGCCTCACATATACCGCGCTTCATAAGTAACTACAACCTCGGAAGCAACAGAAACTTCCGAGTTAATGAAGACTGTTAATGAAACCCGTAACTTATGCAGGCTTCAAAATTAATTAAATCAATAGTCAAAAATTATTAGAGGAGAAATACTAATACAGCATCTGAAAAAATTTTTCAGTTGATCATTTGATGTTTTAGACTTTTGAAGCACTCAAGTTCTTAATCTAAAGATCAACTGGATTTAAGAAACAGTTTGACATGAGAAATGGTTACAATCCAAAGTGCGTCACCATCCGGCGTAAACTTGCAATATCACGTGACATGAAAGTGGGAAGATAGGTTATTGATCGCTCTGTGAGTTAAATTCATTAATCTCGCATACTCAATTTAAGTATTAAACGAAATTCTAAATCACTTAACATATTCATTTTTTTGTTGAGACTTGTACTGAAGACGAATGTTTCGTAACTATTCACAACATAATACATTTAAACAATCTGACTTAATGTTAAAAATAAGGTACTTACTGTTAACTTTGAAATTAGCAAATGCAGCACAATCCTCTTTCTTATCAACGAAAACGCAAATTGGCTGGAAAAAAAATGACGTTGAATCTTATAATAATAATAGAGATACTTCATAGATGGAAATAACTTAGTAGATACGTGCTTAAAAAGTTTGAGAATTCATTATTACGTCCTTTCATTGAGTGTTTCTCAAATTCTCTGTGCTTTTATTTCATTTTTTCATGTTTAAATATGTAACAATCATTTCATCTATTTTTCATCAAACTAATTTAAACTTTTCCTCATTATCTGATTAAAGCACTTGTTTCCATAAAATCAAAGACAACATGGAAGAAATTTATAATCAAAAAATTCTCCCCGAAATTCAAAAAGGATACACGACTTACCTTTCCAATTTTAATACCTTTAGTACCATCAGGTACTAAAATTTTAGCCAAGACACCTTCCTCGGATGCTTCAAATGCCATTACCGATTTATCAGTTTCAATTTCACATACCAAATCGCCTTCCTCCACTTCATCACCTTCTTTTTTATGCCACTTGACAATAGTACCATGTTCCATTGTTGGTGAAAGAGCTGGCATTTGGATCAGTCTATGTTCCGGAAGACCTATAATGGTAACGTCTAAAACATGATAAAAACGTCTGATTAACTGATGATGATTTCCAGAAGAATACTGGTGGAGTATAACGGGCTCTGACACTATACTTATAATTCTTTTAAACCTCCAAAAAATCGACCCTCTTTTCAACTACTTCTATTAAAATATTTAAGATGTTGAATACTCTGACAACACTTGAAAAAAATCTTACCACTAGAATATAACCGATATAGTTGCTTATTGCTATCTTGAATCCCATGAAAACGATTTATGTTATGGTTGAAAACATCGAACAAAGGTGTAAGTCGAGATGTAGATGCTGTACGTCTGAAAAAATATTTTTCACTAATTGTCTAATGAAGACACAAATTATGTTTTATACAAAAAAGAAAAAAAAATCTCTGAGATCTATAAATCGAAACAGAATTATTATCAACATATCGAGCATCCTCGTATCACAACAATTAAAAGATAAAAAACATTTCAACATGAACATACATAAATGCGACAGGAATTACAGTACGAGGTACAGCTGTAAGCTTAAGTCCATTGTGCGAACAACGTAATGATAATGAAATATTTCGTGCAGAAATTTTAGGCATCATTCAAGATGAATTATTCAATTTTGTGCTGATTTTTTCGTTTCAAATAAAACTATCTGAAATGAAAAAACTTTTTAAATATAACACCAAAAGAAAAAAAAAAACAACTGGATTATCAATCGGAAAATGAAAACGTAATATAACAGATACATTATGATATCAATAATAATGCCCTGGAATAGGGGAGGTTTTATTGATTTCAGAAAATTACACGAAAAAACACCTATAAAATATGAATAAATCTATCATTATTTTAAATATTCCAATATTCAGTAAATTATGGCGAAATGTTTTAAAAATGCTCAGCAAAAACACTCAACATTACATCTTTTATACGATGTAACATTCGGTGATATCTCAAAAAAAGAGCCTCAAAAAAATCGCTTCAAAGATACTTCATATAATCGATCGTTCACGAAACATTCAAATGACAATTACCCCGCTGTCATTCTATCAGGATTTCCGGATGATTATAATCCTGTTCATTACTATAAAACACACAACATAACACATATATATATCGAAATGCACGCACACACAACACATAAATACGTGCCATCCTTTTGGTTTAAAATAAAATGGTCCAATACTCCTACCTTCTGCTTTAACTCTTTCTCTCTTTTTCACCCTATTCTCCAGTTATCTCTTTTTGCTTCTCTCTTTAAGCTGCCGGGCCTCGTTCCTTTTTCTCTTTCTCTCTTTCTCATCGAACCCTACCTCTCTTTTTTACTCCCTTCTCTTCCTGTCTCTCTTTTTTCTTATCTATTTCTTACATGAATGTACCAATTTGAAAGTGATGACGGACGCATGTGCATAACAGATGTTTTAATGGCATTTGATATGTAGTCGAGTAATTGAACACGTATTTCCTTACGTTCGTGACAAGTGATTTCATTAAACTTATAAGTGATGACGTTTTAGAATCAGAAAAGTAACAGCGCGTAAACGAGGCATTTATTTTCAAATAAAACATAGAATTGCGATATAATAATGGATGAGATGAACAAACTTCTTGAAGACAAGAGCTATGATGATATCGCCCGGTACGGTATGACACGACGATATCATCCGGTTGGTATGACATGACAGTCTCATCCAGTACGATAAGAAAGCATTGTACCATCAGGAAGATTCAGAGGCTTACATGAAAACCTAAGATGAGTACCGTACTGCCTGGGATAACAGCGGATATAGAATGAATGTGCCACGGAAACTCGGGATGAAAGTGAGCACCGATACGAGTTAAGATAGGAATGGACATACTACGGAAACTCAGGATGGAAGTGACATACTGTGGGAGAAATGAATTAGAAATAATGAGAGATGACAAATTTCAACGATGAGTGAAGTGTTAATTAAATATAGAGTAGCGTAAATGGAATAAATATTTTGAAAAAGGAATAATTCTGCATGTTACATATATACATATTTTGTTTTTTTTTACCAATCATATATAATGAGTGGTAAAAAAAAACAGAAAAATTGCTAAAAACTCCACTTTTCCATCATACTACGACTTACGCCCATTTAGGCCATTGACAGATGATTTTTACCACTTTATTTATTAAATTCATTGCAGTATTAAAAACTAAATTATTTTTTTCCAATTTCAAAAAAAAAATCCAAAGAAAATTCAAACTTAACAAAAATTATGGGATAACTTAATAACTTTCAATTAGATTGAATCGAATAATCATTCATACATATATAAATGATTATCCGATTCAGTCTAATTGAAAGTTATTAAATTTGTGGAATCGGAATATTTCAGATGAAATCTTTTATGGCCTTCTTTTTTCTACTCTTTAATTTGAATTTGATAATGCATTCTAATTGGAAGTTATTAAATTTGAAATGAATCCAACCGTTGGAATAAGAAATAAGCGTTGATTTATCACAATTCAACCACGCAAGTAAAGCGACCGAATATACTGTTTCACTTTTTTTTAAAAAATCTTTTTAAATCTCTATTAAAATGAAGTAATGTAAGCGATAACGGCTGAACTATCACATTTCCCGCCTCAATTGACAATGCTTTCAAAATGCAAATATTTCCGAAATATTTTTCAAAAACTTTCCTCTATCATTATTATTGACATTTCACTAAAATTTTTTTGTTTTCAAATTTCTTAAATTACCGTTAAAATGCACTATCGGAAGTAGATAGTGGGGTTAAACTAACTGTTTGATTTTCATCATAGATGCTTATTTTGTTAATCTTTTCCAGCCAGAATTAATCATCAAATTCAGATCAGTGAGTGGAACGTCAAAAATTCCAAATCTTCTATGACATCAAATGACCGATTAAGTTAGCGATCTTTTGACCTCCTAGAATAAACTCACCTATCACCTATCATATCTTTTTCTTCAATTATCTTTGATTGATTCCAATTATTCATATTATTTCGGTAACAATTAACAGTGTTCCTTAGAGATTTAACAATGTCAATCGTTGGAATAATTTAAATATTCACTATATGTTATCATCTATTATTTTATGACATTAGTTATTATCGAAAATTCATAACATGAATACATATTATCTTCAGTATTCACTCATAAGGAATAGCCGTAAACATCTGTTACTTATTCAGCAAAAATTATGGCATCTGTTATTTGAGATATTTGCTAATTAAGGATTGCAGCTATTATCGAAAGTATATAAATACATATTTTTTCTTAATTTTAATCATTAATTTCTTGGTCTTTTCAATTTTCATCAAAAATTTTGCAAATAACAGACTAAATAGTGAGTGACATATGGAACGGAAAAAATTTCCATAAAAAATTCTATTTTTCTTTTTTGTTTGGAAATGATAGAAAATGAAGTTTTTAACAAATATTTAACATTAATAAATGGACAACATTCATCCATTCGTGGATTATAATAATTATTCAATTTTCAGAATACACACAGACAGGCACATGCACAGGTGGATAAGTTGAAGCTAAGGAATAGCAGCTGGACGATGATAACTGATATGATATAAAAGGATAAGATGGAGTAGTCGTCATTCTATTAAACGCATATATGCAGATTAAATAGATAGAAACAATTTAATGCAGTTGATGAGCAATATTATTTTGAAACTGATGACAAGAAGGACACAATATTGCATTTATTGGTATTACTGCTTGCTGATTTTTATCACTTTAAAGAGATTAAAATTGGTCACGCAATTTGATAAATTGATCTAATAATTTAATATAAATGGCTTTTATAGATAAAAAGGTTTAATAAATTGATCATACAATAATCTAATATGAAGTAATCTATCCAGACGGATTAATTAATAAGTTGATCATACGATGAGTGTGATAGATTTGGTAGATGGAAATATGTTTATATAAAAAAAAGAACTTTTTATGTTAAATAATAAAAGTTTCGAATTTTTGTTTATTAATAAACATAGCTCACATAAATTGAATAAAGAAATTATATAAAGATAAAAATAAATTGGCATATTACGCAATTGAAAAAAAATTTTAAGTTGAAATTTTGATTAAATTCAAGTTTTATTTTCATTAACAATAGGTATGAATATGTTGCTGATTATCTAAATGGAGTATTTCATGGATTTTTCATGATTAGTTATGATGATAGAAACGAATGTCTTTCAATATATTAGCGAAAAAATTATTGCGACGCGCTAAAGTTATGAGTATTTCACGTGATTAACCTAATATAAAGTGCCACGTAATTGATTTAATACAATAATGTTGACAAAACAAAAAATAAAATAAAATTTCATTTTTTTTTCGTAATATCTTAGTCGGAATAGCCAAAATATGAAATTAAATGAATAGTAAAATCAATTATTTCAGAAGGTAAATTTTTTTTCTTAAAATTCTCGGGTACCATATATTTTCGATGATCAATCTCACACAATGTAATCATCCAATTGTGCAGATGAAATTTGATAATTTTTTCTAAAAAAAATCTAAAGTGATCTTTTTTTAAAAGTTATTTTATCGAGAATTAATTACAAATGCAATCAGTATTTGCATCATTCATTCTCATCAATAACAGAGACAATAAATAAGCAGAAAGAAAGTGCTTAAGGTCGATTTTCATTTCATTTCAAGAGAAATTTAATTTCTTAATTCTTCCTATAAAATCGATTTGGAGGATTTATGCTTCTTCCATAGCAATAAATAGCACTATAAAAGTGTTCCAATTCAAATTTTTCAACCTTTTTCCAAAAAAAAA